GGAGGAGGACGTCTCTCTCTCTCTCTCTCTCGCTATTCTTTCTTTTCGTTTCTTTTCTTCTTCGCTTCTCACCCCTTTCACGGCTGTCCGCGGAAGCTGATTCCCTTCTGCTGCATAAGCTTCTGCAGCTCGCCTCCCTCCACCATCTTCTGCACGACGTCCAGCCCGCCTACAAACTCGCCCTTGAGAAACAGCTGCGGGATCGTCGGCCACGCGCTCACCTCCTTCACGTAGGTCCGCACAACGGGATGCGCCAGGACGTCAAACGAGGTGTACTCCAACCCCAGCGCCTCCAAAATGTCTATCAGCCGCTTTGAGAAGGCGCACATGGGCGCCTCCGGCACCCCCTTAATAAACGCGACCACGTCCTCCGTGCGGATGGTGTCGTCGATGTCCTTTTTCACCATCGCCACCTCGTCCTCAGCGAGTTCGGTGTTGACCAGGCGGGGCTGAAAGTCGGGGTGCGTCTCCTCCGTGTCCTGCACGTCACCGCCGCCCACAACCCCCTCCTCACTGGTCGTGGGGGTGGTGGCCAGAAGCCGCCGCTGCGGGTGCGGCTGCAGGAGGGGCGCTGCCGCCGCTGGGAGGCGCCGCGCAACGAGGGACGCAGATCGCCCCCAAAACGCGTTACAAATCCGCCGCATCAAGCACTGCGGCGGCCCGGTAGTAAGCGACAAAAGCAAAGAAAAAAAACAAATGGAAAGAAGACCTCACGCATACAAAAGCCACTGCGATGATTGGGAAATACACATTCCGCCGCAACCCACATAAAAAAAAAAGTAATACGTAAAGCCACATCATGCAGATTGAGTGCATGGCTGCCCCGCCCACCCCCAGGGGGAGGGAGGGAGGGGGGAAGGGAAGGCAATTGTGTACATTCTATTACCGACAAGGTAACTTCTCTACTGTGAAGTCGTAGTTTATTTTGTTTCCAGGCCTTTGCAGCTCTTCTCTTTTCTTTTGTTCTAAGCGGTGTTACTGTCGCTGTCACTGTCTATCAGGAAGCGCTTTATGTCAAGTCTCCCAAGTCCAATGGTCGGCCTGGCGGGCGCAGCTGCCTCTCGTGCCACCGTATCCTGTTTTGCACCCACGCGGTTGTCTGGACTTTTTGTCGATCTTGTCGACAGCGTCGAGCACGACAAATGCCGCTCCACGGGTGCCGCAGGAGCCACAGTGACGCTCTTTTTCATTCGCCCTTGCACCTTCGCCGGTGCCGGCGCTGTTGTCGCAGCAGCAGCAGCCGCCGGGGTTGGCCGGAGTCCGAACTTGTCTAGCTGCGGCAAACCGCTAAGGGCCGTTTTGCCTTCCGTCACGGGAGGCGCAGAGGCGGTAGCTGCAAGGGGCGGCGAGTCCGCGGGAGGTCGTTGGCTGGGCTTTGACTGCGACCTCCTCTTCACGCGGGGCCTGCGCGGGGGATTGGCGGCTGCGGCGCCACTCTGCTCCCTCCCGGCGCGGTGCTCGCCGGCATCAGCGGGAGGAACAACGGCGGTCGCCACAGCGCTAACGGGGCGTGGGGCGGCAGCCGTCGCCGTCGCCGGCGCGGAGGCGACGCCGCGGGAGCCGTTCCGCGGGCTCTTGTGCCTCGCCGCGTCCTCCGCCTCGGTGGTTGCAGAAACGCACTCAGACGCCCGTTTCCCCGTCGCCTGCCCCCTTCGCTTCGTCTCCGCAGCCGGGGCGTACTGGTACGTGGTGCTGCGCTGCGCACGGGTTTGGTACTTGTGCGTGTCGACCCCGAGAAACCGCTTCTCCTCCGGCGACAGGAACGTCGCGACCAGCTCCACGGTTGCATCCTGCAGCACCGCCAGACCCTCGGCGAAGGCGGCGAGGGCCTGCTCCTGCTCTTCCGTGGGGTGCGGCAGCGGCTTCACCTCACCGTAAACGTCCTTCGCGCGGCGCAGGTCCAGCCGCATCGCGTCATAGACGGACTTCACAAGCCAAGCATCCGCCTCCCCCTGCAGGCGTTCAATTTCGCAGTGCACGCGCAGCAGCACATCTCGCACCTCACGGCGGTGCCGGATGCACTCGAGCTTTTTCACGGTGGGCGCGTCCACGGCGATGGGGCGCACCACACGCGACCGCTTCTTCTGCGCGGCGATTGCGCAGCCGCGGGACGACGACGCCCGGTCCCGGCGCGGCGACTCCGGCGCGGGGTCAATCAGGGTGCCGTAGAACACCCGTCTGTCGGAAAGAAGCCGCGGCTCCCGCACCGCGCGCCCCCGCGAGCCCGCCGCGTCCAGTTTTTCCTCCTCATCCGCCTCGTCTCTGTCGGCATCGTTGCAGAGGCTGCGGCCGGTGCACCCCCGCGGGGAGGCGGCGGACTCCACGGCGGGCGCCTCCTTCGGCCCCGCGACAGGGCGCTGCAGATTCGGCACAAACGCCGCCGCTGGGCGGGGCGCCTCGAGCAGGGCCTCCAGAGTGGCGGTGATGTCTGTCTTTGGCCCCTTTCGCCGAAGCGGCAGCAGCGTCCTTTCGGCGTCGTCCAGGACGGCGGGCGGTGCGTCGCGGTGCGGGGAGCCCAGAATGGCGACCAGCGTGTCCCGCACACACTGCGGCACCCGCCCCCACTCCCCCACTCCCCGCTCAATCTCGTGCAGGGAGGGCGGCGGCCGCACGTCTTCCGTCATCCACGTCGTTGACAGAGATGCGGGGCCGTTCAAGGGGTTCCCCACCCGTTGCTACTCTCGCGCTCCCTCGTTTTTACTTCTCGCTCGCTCAGCGTCATGCGTGCATGCCGGGGGAAAGACGCAAAGTATGAGGGGCACCCGAGGCCCAGAAGAGAGGCGGGAAGCGTCAAGAGCAGCTCCGCCGCAGCTTTCCCGAGAGACACAAACACACAGATACATGCGTGCACTGCGGACCTCAGAGGGAAGGCACATAGAAGTAGGCATACACGTAGTTATCTCTACAACTCCGCTCCACGTATCCCCAAGGGAAGAAAACAAGCAACAACAACAACAACAACAACAAACACGCACAATTGCACAGCACTTCTATGAGCGGACCACGCCTCTTTGCTGCCCTTCTTCACTGGCTTCTTCTCTCGAAGATCACCTTCTTCTCTGAAGCAGAGAGCCATCTTCCGTTTGTTTTAAATTTCTCACTCTCTTTCTGCGTGTGTTGGGGCTTTTGCCCCCTCTACGCCCGCGCGCCCAGGCTGCTTAGAGAGCTTTCGGACGCCGCGCGGTGCTGCGAGCCGGCGCCTTTGGTCGACTGCGAGAAGCGGTGGTGGGACGGCTCCTCCTCCGCCAGCTGCTGCATGGACGCCCCGTCGAGCAGCGCGACGCGGCTCATGCAGCACTGCCGCCTCTCGCTCAGCGTCGGCTCCTCCCCGGGCCTCGGCGGCGTGCTGCTCGGGCCGGGCGGCACATCCTCCGCCCGCAGGTCCGCCGGGTCGAGCCCCATCGCCCGCTTCTCATCATCAGAGAGGAGGTTCGCCGCAAACCGCACCGACGCCCACCGCAGCGCCTCGACGCCGTCGGCGACCTCGTCTACCATCGCCTCCAGCTGCCGCAGGCGCCGCAGCGCGGCGGTGGGGAGGACGACGTTCTCCGGAACCTCGTCGCCCGGGCTGAGGCCCCGCTCCCGCCGGAGGTCGCGGAGCAGCGCGGGGTCGAGTTGGGCGGCGGTGCGCCACAAGGCGCGGAGGTGGTGCCGCAGCCCCTCGCGGGTCTCCTCCACGGTGTTGTGGAACTGCGCAAAGCTGCGCACCGCCTGGTCCCGCACCCACGCCGCGTCCTCGAAGGTCCGCACGCTGCGCTGCACCACCTCCTCCGAGAGCGACGAGACCGCCGCCCGCGATCCCTCACGCGGCTCCGGCCACCGGTCGCAGTGCCGCCGCGCCGCTGCCTCGGCGGTGGCGCCAACCCCTCCCGCCGCCTGCGACTCCCGCCCGGCCAGCGCCAGGACAACCGCCTCCCGGACACAACGCGGCACCTCGGCCCAGTCCCCGTCGCCGTTGGCAACCGCACGCACAACCTGCGCCACGTGGGTCCCGCCTATCATTTCTTCCTGGCCCTTCGCTTCTGACTTCAGCAGGCAGGCGCATGTTACACGAGAGAACGGTGTTGTTGTTGTTGTTGTTGTTGGAGGAAGAGGAGGAGGCGGAAAGGGAGTCTGGCGGCAGAACACGCGCAGAGGCGGGCAGCGAGAGCACCGGCAGCGACAACACTTCAAGAGGAAGAAAAGGCGGGGTTGGGAAAAGACGAAGTGGAGGACCACCATTTTGTTTCTCGTTGTGGGCAGGCGGCAGCCAACACTCCCCAAACCCGCCCTTGCGGCGACGGAGGGGCGCCTGCTCAGTCCTCATCCCTGCCGTCGAGGACGGCGAAGACGTGTTGGTTGTCGTCGAGCACGTCACAGACGCGGGCCTCAGGGTCGCAGGTGATGCCGCCCTCCTTTTGGATGCACTGCGGGGAGCCGTACTTGCGCCCAAAGGAGGCGTCGTAGTGCACCATGGCCGCGTTGCCCAGCCAAATTACATCCTGCGTGCCGTCGCCGCACTCCAGCGGAATGACCTTCTCCCGCACATGCACGTAGATACGCATCACAGCTAGAAAGGATTTCTCTCCCCCACCTTTTTTTGTGGCTTCGCTTTGCTTTGCCTTGCCTTGCTTTTTTCTGCTTGGTTGCTCTCGCGCTTTCCTCCTCACACTGCCCCCTCCCCTCCCCTCTGATGCCGCTCCCCGCATGTCACACACACACACACAAAAAAAAGAAAAAAGAAAAAAAACGCGAGTCAGACGGACACGACAAGGCGCGCACGCACACATTTCAGGGAAAAGCAACAACCACACGAGGCAAAAACAAAGGCAGAAGAAGAGCAGGCACAGCGCTGCAGCACAACCGCCCCCTGCCGCCACGTCTCTCTCCCGTCTCGGCCCCCATTTACGCCGCGCGGGCGTCGGCGCGCGCGCAGCGCCCAGCAAAGTAACAACAACACCACTTACACAATCCACGCCGCGAGCCCGCCACTGTGACATTTCCAGCGCGGTAGCTCAGTAGCCGTTGTAGCTTTTTAGCTGGGCGATGCGGCGTGGGTCCAGTTCGTGCTGCAGCGCCCCCGCCGTCTCTCCCGGCGTCGGGGTGCGCATCATGTTGGACAGCGTCAGGGCGTCCTGCGCCTCCCGCTGGCGTCTGGCGATGTCAACCAACTCCGGCGGCAGGTTGTCGCCGTAGACCGCCTTGATGTGCATGTACATCTGCTCCTCGCGCTTCGGCTGCACGCGCAACACGGTCATCTTGAGGAACTGGTAGGCGAAGCCCATGACAAGCATGGAGCACCAAAAAAACTGAATTTTGGTGCGCGTCGGCAGCCGCTCGTACCGCGCCACCCCCGGCAGCGAAGACATCGCCGCACAAGCACAAACACACACGCAGGCAGACACTAAAAATGTCAGGCGAACTCCTTCGCACCTCCACACGCGCGGCGACCGCGAGGGCGTGCTCCGTTCCTCTTCCTCCTCCTCTACTCGCTTCCCCGCGTCCCCCCCCCCCGTCAGCCCCGCCACGAGGCGCAACAAAACAAGCAGCAAAGAGAAGTGAAAAAGCAAAAGCAGCAAATAATAGTAATAATAATTATAACATCCTCCACCTCCTTCCCCCGCCGAGCGGCGGGAGCAAAAAAAAAAAGGCATACTAAATGCAAATGTAAATATATATATATGTGTACTTTAGCGGAAGAGGGGGAGGGAAGGAGACAGGCGACACTACGCGCCGTTGGCGCCGTCGCTCCTCGCCTCGTCGGTGTCCATGAAGCCGATGTACAGCACCGTCTCCCCGCGCACAAAGCAGAGCTCGCGCGGCTCCGCGCCCTTGTCAAGGACGGCGTTGAAGTTGTTGTCCACGCCGTGCAGCACCCCGCTGTGCGTCTCGCCAAACACAGTGAGGCACACCGCCGGCTTCTGCAGCCGCTCCGCCAGATTCACCGCCGCCATGATCGTGCACCCCCCACTAGCAGGCAAAGGAATGCGGGAGGGAAGAGGACACACAGCAGGCAACGATGCGTCCAGCAAGACAATTAAGAGAAGAGCCGCACACACACACACACACACACGAGGAGAACGGGGTCGAGAGGGAAAGAGAAGGAGAGTGAGTCACGCACACGCACACGCCCACGGGCACATACATACACTTCGATACACACGCAGAACATCCTCGTGCCACCGGCACACATCGAAAGTCAACTCTGCCCATCATCCCGCCCACCCCTTCCCAGGGCCCTCCGCACGCACAGCGGCGGGGCCCGACGTCCCGTGTGGAGAGGTGAGCTACACACACGCGCCCACTCAGACAACCACAGCGGCCACGCGGCACCCGCATCTCGGGCAGGGCCAAATCGTCGCTGTGCCCGCCACCGCACGCCTTCCAGGCGCACACGACAAAACAAACAAATGCACAGAGCACAGAAAGAGATAAACATATATATATATATATGTATCTGCGTATCATATACATACGCGCGCAGTGGCACTGAGCGGGTGAGTGACATCACAAAGTTGATGTGGGCTCGATACTAACACACAACAGTGAGGACAAAAAAAAAACAACAACAACAACCACCACAGCATATGCAATAACCATCGGTGCAAAGTAAAGGGCAGAAAGGGAAGGAGTAGGCGAAAGCAAAGTTTTGAAGAGAAAAACCAGCAAGGTAAGTACAGGAGAGACCAAATGGAAAGAGAACAACAGTAAAAAACAAACAAACAAACAAACAAGGAACTGATTCCAGGAAAAGCAGTGCAACCGTAAAACAAAAACAACAACAACAAAAAAATATGTATATGCATACATGAAGGAGTACAGAGTCTTTCATCCCTTCCTTTTTTTCCTCCCCCCCTCGTGCGTGTATATGTGTGTGTGTATGTTTTACCATTTTTCGTATAATGTGTTTCGTGCTTCGTTATAAAGAGCTTTTATCTGCTGTTGCTGTTGTTCTCTCTTCTTTTTTTCTTTCTTTCTGTTGTTGTTGTTGTTTTTTCATTGTTCGTTGCGCCTTCGTCACTCGTGCAACACGACAGTGCCTGCTGAGGCGGCAAACACATCCCGCGCACAGCGTTGCCCCCGCCCTCGCCACTGCGCTGCGTGGGTGGCGAAGGAAACGCAAAAAAAAAAAAACGGGGGAAATAAAACAACACGGCTTGCACGCTCCCACACGACCCAGGAAAACATGCAGACATAAGACTCGCTACTAGAAACGCAAAAAAAAAAAAACAGAGACAAACAAACAAACATTCACTGGAAATTAAAACGGTTCTCCCACCCCACTCTCTACAGGCGCGCAGGCAGGCGATATGGACTTTATCGACTTCTCCGCTCCACTAGGCCGCGCCTTCAGGGGCTGGCACATGCCAAAGCTTGACTGAGGGCGAGGAACCGCCTTCTCCAGCTGCAGCCGACCCCCGGTCTCCGAAACAGTCGGCCGGGCAGAAGATTTGCCACTAGACACCTGCGACCCCGGCGGCGAAGGAGACGACGACAACGACAGGTTACGACGCTGCTGCAGCTGCTTCCCGCAAAAGCTGCTGGGGGCCGACAGAGGCCGCCCCCCCGTTGGCGTCAGCGCAGCGTCCACTGCAGCCGGCAGGCCCGCCTCTTCCTCGTCGCTGCAGGCAGCCGATGACGCTTCAGTGGTGTCGTTGCCGCCCTGGGCGCCGGCGCGTCTAAGCCGACCTGCGCGGTGCTGCTGCATCTTGCGTAGCAGCTGCGCCTGCCACTCGTGCTCCGTCATGCGCCGCCCAAGCGTCTCCTGCGCCGTCGTAATGCGGAGCAGCAGGACGAAGCGCTCCTTGAAGTACGCAATGAGCATCCCCCGCCGCTCGATGGACAGAATTCCCCGGTGGTGCCGGAAAGCCATGTCACGGCGAGCGAAGTTGCAAAGCTCAACAATGGCGCGTCGCACCTCGCCCTCCCGCGACTGGAACTCCCGCAGCAGCGCCTTTGCCCGCTCTCGAGCCCGGAACGCGAGCCGCCGCTCCCGCAAGGAGGTGGTGCTGCCCTCCACCATTGAAAAGTCCTCCTCCGTATCGAACTCCGACACGGAGGGCAGGTGGTCGTAGCGAACGGAGGCGGTGGGCATGCTCACGTCCGGCCACGTACTAGACGCTGCCGTCTCCACGCGGCAGTGAAAGGTGGGACGCCCAGTGCGAATGTCGTCAACCGTGGTGGAGGAGCAGTCAATCGTTTCCGACATCTCACTCCTGCAGGTGGCAGAGTTGAGTGCCACCGCACTTCGTGCGGTGAACAGCGCCGCCTCCACCATCGCAGCCGTTTCTGTCAGCTCTGGCGGCGTTGGCGGCGTTGGCGGCGGCTGCCGCTTATCTCCTTCTACCAGGTTATCCCTGGCAAGCGCCAAGGAATCCACGTTGGCGTCTTTCTCATTGTCCAGCTCGCCTTTACCGCAGGCAGCTTCGGACGGGGCCTTTTTGCCGCAGCAACTACCCATGCGTCAGCACCGTCCCGGCCCCCGCCTCCTTTTTTCTACCTCCTCGCCCACCTCTATTCTCTAGCGCGTGTGTATGTTACACCTGTATGTATGTATATATATATATGCGTGCGGGTGGGTGCCCGTACTTTGCCCTTCACTCCAATGCGCGCCGCCTCCTCTTCCTCACTCTTACTTCTTATTTTCGTTTGGGCGCTTCCTTCGTATCCCGCTTCGGCGTCGACAGTCGCTTTTCCCCCACTCCCGCCCACCCCCCGACGCGGTGCGTGCGCTTCCGGTCCCACTGGCGCGCCGCCTCAACGTTGCCACTGCAGAGTCCCTCGCTATTGCGCCCCCCGCCCCGCCGCATGGAGCAGGCCGGAGTCTCACGCGCTTGTGTGTGTGTGTGTGTGGGTCTCGCGGCGCTTCCCTACTCCGCAGCTCCTCGGCACAGCTGAGCGCAGCCACGGCAGCGAAAACAAACAAACAAACAGACAAAAAACAGTCAGGCAAGCGCAGGGCAACCAAAACACACGCCGCAGGGCAGCCCAAAAGCAGTCACCGGCAGCAGCGAGAGCGGGAGGGGGTGCGGAAGTAAAAACAATAGGATGATGATTAGCCGCCGCAGCACTCAACAAAATAAAACCGTACACTCACACACACACAGACACAAACACGGAGAAGGACCGGGAGGGAGACGACGGCGGCCCCAAGAGCACGAGGATTGCACCCAAGGCCTGCGGGAAGGGAGGCGCCTCAATGTGTGTGCGTGCGTGGAGCTAAAAGATAAAGTAAAATAAAAAGGATATGGGCAGCAAGTTGCCGCGATCCCGCCCAACGCGTTGCCTGGAAGGCACATATGCGACCCAAAGCCTTACGGCACACACAACACACACAGCTTAGTGTTGTGCTGTTCCCTACACGCTCCCTTAACCATCTCTCTTCTTTCGTTATTTTCTCTTTTTCTTTCTCTTGCATCGATACACAGGGAGAAAAGAGCGGGACCATCTCAGTCTCCTTCCCACGCCAGCCCGTAAACAATAGCCATATTTCTTTATATATATATATATGTGTGTGTGTGTGTGTGTGTGTGTGTGTGTGTGTGTGTGTGTGCAATGTGTTTGGCGTCCAGTCGGCATCCGCCGTAGCCTCCCGTCCGGCGACGAGTTCCGGCGTCATGTGCCGCGTCCTCTCCGGCTCGCCACGCCTTCCCCCTCCCCCCCAGCGAGTCTACGCCGGCTCCACGTGCTCCTCCCGCTCGGCGCCGCGCAGAAACTTCACAAAGTCCTTCTTGCTAATGTACCCGGCGAATTTCGCGCGGCGGCACACCATGATGTGGCGCACCCCGAGAGACTTGAAGAGGTACAGCATGCGCGACACCGGGCACTCCGGCTCCA